AGGGTAGGCAGGGAATTTTCCTGTTTTATCGAACAAGTTTTGTTTTATTACTACGTAACACGGAGGAGAGAATATTCATCGGTATCGGTGCAACTCGTAAAACCAGTGACTTGTAAAATTTCGCTAATAATATCGGTTAAACGACGCGAGGAGGTGGCGAATAACGATTAAGGAGAGAGGAGGGGGGATTAGAGGAAGACGAGGCTGGCACAGGTGGTCGCGTTATAGCTCGACAGCGGCTACCTGTCGGCGAGAAGGAACGTGATTAACAAACGTGATCGATCCTCGCGATGCCCGAGATAATTTCAAGCGGGAGTCTTGGCACGCACGATCAATATTTATAACGTGTGGTGGCCGGTGCTCCTGTTTCTTCCACGCGTGGAATCTACCTACCGTGGTGGCTAAACTGTGCACGAGCAAGCACCAAGCTCTCGCGTGCGAACGCGATCATTTTCCAAGCTTTACTTAGATAGAAATTGGCTCGACAGGGAAACGCAACGATACTTTATTTGGAACCGAATAAGCCGGAGGATCGGGATCAATTCGACTTTAAAAATGGGAAGAATGAACGTGGAGAAGATACGACTTTTTTATTTGTACACATTGTCGGGATATTTAGAAGGATTACAAATTGTCCACGGGTGCTAATGATAAATTGTAATTCGTCTTATAAATCATTTATAACTGCGATCTAACGTGCAAGTAATAAAAATACGTATTTAATTGCTGTAATTAATTTGTGGAAGAGAATAAATTTATCGTAGATCGGATACAACTGCGAATATAATATTTATAATAAAATTAATTTTTTTTTCGTTTTTATGTAATAACAAAGAAATGTAAAAATTGTTAAAGACCGTTCGCTTTCCCCTTTTCGTCGGGAAGATTGTAAACTCGAGGTATTCGAAAATTACCAGTTCCTTTTCTTAAAATTTCTTTTTAAAAAAACCGTTAAAACATTAAATTTACTTTGAATTAAGAAATCTAAAGTTACTTCATACAGTTTCGGGATACTATTCGAGTCGCGAGAGAAACGAATAAAGAAAAAAAAGAAAAAAAAAGAAAAAAAAAATAAAGAATTTTTCAAAAAAGAGAGACTCACAATAGAGAAATAAAAAGTTATAGTCTCGGATATGTGGATCTGTTCATCGTGTAATCACGGTACTTAAGCAGTACCGAGTCACTTTGCAGATTCTCCGATACCGATACAGACCTTTTTTCCAGGAAGGTAGTAATTTTCCAAGTTATATTTCCCCATTTATGTACAACGTATGGAAGGTGCTCGTTTGTAACGAAATATCGTCCGCCTTTTTCGACTTTTCTCTCCTTACTGTCTTCCAACTTTACAATTTCCACAACACAACGATCTTTCTCCTTCGAGTGATACTTTAAAACTCTTCCTTTTTCCAATCCTTAATCCGATATTCGCGGGGTCTTTGAAAAACATGTTACGAACGTCTAACATTCTCTTCTCAACCAACACACACAGCCATCCTTCTTAACAATTTTTAAATTGAAACTCCATCCAACTCGTAAACGTTGGATTCGAATTTTTTATTCGAATACCCGTTTCAATTTCGCCATATATAAAATTTCCCTTTCACAACGTGTAACGCCAACAATCTTCTCCATCTTAATCTTCTCGAATTGGAACTCTTACGTAACCTGTACGTATAACGTGTAACACGAGACCTTTATCTTTTTCTATTTACCTCGTAATCTCGATCTCACGATAGAAATTAAGGGTCAGAGGGGCGGAGATGGGATCTTGTCGGAACTCGGTCCCAGACGAGGATGGATTGGCCGATTTACACGTTCGTTTCGATTGTCTCCAACCGGAAGAAGAAGGTGGCTTTCGTTTCGAAAAATAAAATTCCCCGAGGAGGTGGAAAGAGAGAGGCAGCGGGTAGAGAAGGAAACATAAGGACGTACGCAGCCCATCGTGCGACTGGTCTAATTAACGTTGTATTTATATACCCGGTCGTTATTACTTTCTTCGCTGTGTCGTAAATTTTCCAATGTTCCCGCGGTCATCCTATCATTACTGGTAGGAGAATACGCGCGACGCTTTCATCCGTAAACGGCCAATTTCTTGATGCTATCTCCGACGCTTTCGCTTAGCCTTTTAACATTCGAGCAAAAATATCCCTCGTATTTTCACCCTAAACGTTTCATTGCTTCCGCTCGATATCCTTATCATTTGCCACTACTACGACCGTTCTTTAGCCACGCCAAACGCGTGATAAGGCTTCGTTTGCATAAGCCGGAGTAAATCGCAAATGAACGGTCCAACGAAACTTTCCCTCCCCGAGTCATTTTTTAATTCGTCTTTAATATTAGATCGAGGGTCCGAGGGTGAGAGGCGAGGCAAAGTCGGATTATAATAACGACTTTGCAACGTAACGGAGAGGCGTTAAAAAAAAGTTGCACGGGACTCGTTTCTTTCGCGGCATGGGTCGCAAAGTACCGAAATCTTGGATTAAATCATTCGACATCGTGAATCGGAGCGAAGAGGGAAGGAATAACCGTTACATAACGCAACACGCGATGTAATTAATGAGGACATTAAGGTAACAATCTGGCTCCCTCTCCTCTGTAAGTTTATCCAACTTGTCCAAAGAGAGGCAGAGATCGTGGTCCAGGTTATTAAGCGACTTATGTCGTAAAGCAAAAATAAATCTGACTGGGTTTGCTCGTTGTAAGTAGCATTATAACCACGCTACTTACTAAAAATCAATTAAGACAGAGTCTGGCTCGAAAGGCTTCGTGCTCCATTGCTCGTTAATTCCCAGATACGAAACGATCGCTCGATCTTGTCTCTTTTTTAAGAAGCTTTTTTCGATCATTTCGATCGAAAAATCACCGCATCGATCATTTTCGAGAGTTAACGTCGGAAAAATACGTAATTTATGCAGAAGAATATCGATCCAGATTAATTTAAAAAAAAAGAAAAAGAATTGAATACCAACATCATTTATGGAGAGGAAATAATAGTTACAAGTATATAAGTATCACGTGCATCGATCACAGATCGGTACAAGATCGGCGTTTTACGAGTCGCATTCCGTTTCGAGCGTCGGAGAATCAAAGAAATGAAGATCGATGCCGTGAATTTGCGCACGTGGGATAGAATTAAAGAAATATAAATCTCGTTGATTTTTCCTGAAACTACGGTTAAATCCAGATATTTCCACGATTTCTATCTTCTCACGTGGAAAAAGATGAGAACATAAATAATCGTGGAATCAAGCGTCCAGTTCCGAATAATCATTAATTGTTACAAAAAGGGGGAAATCGCGAATAATTTAGAATCTTCTTACAGGCCGGGAATATAAAAATCCATAAAGTTTCTAAAAGAAACTTTTCCCCTCGTCGAGGGATAAAGAGCGTGGAAATTTAGAGACGAAAAAACGAAACCGATTTACAATCGATTCATCGTCATCACCATTATCACCACCAGCGAGACGACACTCGCCACCCTCGCGCGAAAACGAGTCGTCGCATTCTCACTCGACAAAAATATCGAGCGAAATTGGCCGACGAGATGACGGAATCTCTCGAAAGTTATTTCTCGCTTTACTTTCGACACTTTGGCCGGACTGCTCGTTAAAATTAATATCTCTCTATGCCAAAGACGTTAATTCAATTTACAACGATTGAAAAAAAGAAAAAAAAAACGAAGAAACCGTTTTCTCAAATCTTTAGAAATTGAAAAAAAGAGAAAAAAGAGAAGAAATTGAAAAAAGAGAAAAAAATGTTAAACTCTACACTTGGTCTCTACCTTGTAAGAAACGAGAAACGCGATTTGTTCCATTCTCCTCGCGTATTCTTATATACCAAACTGTTTTAGAAACCCAAGCGTTCGCTTATATTCCACTCAGAACTGAATAATTTAGTCAACGATAATCAATCGGTCCGCTGCCGAAAGGCCAACGATCGAAAGCCGGGGTCATCCTTGATTCGTCGAAAGGAAGAACAAATGCAGCGGTTAGAAAGCGTTACGATTCAACAACATCGTTCCATTTCGCCAAGAATGATCGTTTTCGCGGCTACTCCTCGCGGAATGGGAGGATTTCACGCGCGCAGATATCCAATCTGACGTGACACACATGTTTCGTTGCGAGCCGAGGCCGAGGATCGCGCGTAACTGTGCCAGATTATATCGACAGATCTGCGGAGAAAGTATCGCGAGCCAGCGAACAGATGGATTGATGGATCGATCGCGTGATTGATCACCGCCGATGAAAAATCGGTCTGTGACGAGCGTTGAAAACGAAAACGAGCCGATCGAACGGAAAGTGGTTTCGATCGATCGGCCGCGAACAACGTAATCGAGTCACGGAAATTTAACCATTTGAATGGCGACGAACGACGAAGAACGACATCCACTCCCCCGCTTATCTGCGACACGATCCGTCACAAATCGATCACAAATCGATCACGATTCGATATCGGATGTCTCGCGCAGCGGAGAGGGAGGGAAAGAAAAAGAAAACGTAGTAAAAGAACGTACGCCTTTCTTGCGTGTCGTGGCACGCGTCCGTCAAAAAAGAGAAAAAGAAGCATGGATCGATCTTTCGTTCGTCGAGACGGGGGGGGGAAAAAACTATCGAATTTTGGGACGAGAAGAAGCACGCTTTAACCACATCGATTCGTATTCGAGAGATGTTCGTAGAGATTGCAACTGAGAGAAAATGAACGATTCGGAGGAAAAGTATCGCCGCTATGATGGAAAAACGAAGACGAGTGGAAACGGCGAGAGACAGAAGAAGGAAGAGCGGACGAGTGGAAAGAGCGGGCGAAAGAAGAAGGAACGAAAGTGTGTCGTCCGTTCTGGCACGTATTTCCTTTTCTATGTTCAGAGGGGGGCATCGTTGTTCGGGCCCCGACAAGCCGAAGAGCTTGAGGAGTGCTCGCGGCACGTTGCCCCATAGTGGGGGCAGCGACATAAGTACGAGACGGCCTTAAGAAAAGCCTTCATTCTGATAGCAGATCGCGATTCACGGAGTCGGTGAACTCGTAAAACTCGTGGCCGGGTGACCAAAAACGACCGGCGAGTGTCACCGGATAAGGGGGAGAAGGCCCGGAAAAAAGAGAAAGAGAAAGAGAGAGAGAGAGAGAAAAGAAAAGAAAAGAGATCGAATAAACGGATCGAGAGGCGCCGCTTTCGATCGGGATAAAATTCGCTCGATGCCCGAGACGAAGGGAATCGGACGAGCGCGGTTGTTGGTGATCGTCGAAGGGTGCAGAGAGTGCAGTTGCCAACGGTTCCTCTAAGAGAAATCTCGAGAAATCGAACGCCAAGTCCCGTGGATCCTGCTGGTCAACCAAAGGAACCAAAGGCGAACGAGGTGGGTAGTGTGAACAAACTTTACACGACTTGTAATTGCTCAACGCGATATACGGCGCGAATACGTGGAAGGACTCGTGGTTGGGCCAAGAGCGTTCGTTTACGTAAGTCGAAGGTCGTGAATGATTCCTTCCATCCATCCGAGGCGAAGAGCGCGTTCGAATCTTCTCCGGCCATAGTGGAATAACAATAATTTATCGAAATCGGTGTACGGATAGATCACGTTTGTTTAATTACCGAAAGGGTTAAGAATCCAAGAAGATCACGGAAATACCATCTTATCTATCTTTACCTCGATCTCGAGAACGATTTCGAATCGATATCGAGATAACAGCCGCATAACGATCCCGTAGGATCGTTTCCATCCGGCATCGTCGGATCGGTTCTCGACCCGTAGCAGTCGGAATTCCCATCCGATCTTTTTCAATTTATTAAAACATTGGAGCGCGATACGAAACTTACGTTGTAATTTCGGGTCGTAAACAATGAAAACGGAAGAGGATCTTTCATCATCGTTGAATCGGCTCGCTTTTTACCACGATCGTTATCCGTATTCCGTTCAAATTTCCGCGATAATCGGAAGTTTAATGCCGCGTTCGCACACCGCTTTTCGCGTTTTCCGCCACACACGCTCGAGGATCGCGTTATCGCGAAACGGTAATTCCCACACGCTCCAACCCGATTCGCTTCCTCGTTGCCACAATGATACGCGGTTGTCTCGCGAGAGCGAAGAGGAGGAGAGAGAGAGAAGATGAAACGGGAAGGGTTAATCGAGCAAGATGGCCAGCCTCGAGAGCGACTCCATCTTCGGGAAACGCTCTCTCTGTTTATTTTCTACTCAAACTGCTCTACGAGGCGGTCGTATTAAGCATCGAGCGCACCATTACCATAATCGGACTTTGATAATCGGATGTCGTACCGTTTATGATCGTATGGGAAATAAAGAACGTCTATTCGATCGGAACATAATACACGATGCATCGCGTATAAATCGGTAATAAATGTATAATTTCGAGTAAATCTAACGCGATGCGTGGATTGTTGTAATTGCTTCGAGATGGCGGGTTAAAAGGGCTCGTTTCTTACGATTTCCGGATACGTTTTTTTCTTTCTTTCTTTATTTCTTTTTCTTTTTTTTTTTTTTTTTGAACCTCGAAACCCAGTGATCTCTTGATATCGCATACTGGTTTTAAAACGTGGAATTTCGTCGAAAAGCCACATTATAACAGTTTCTTTCGATCCGGTAATGCAAGCCGCTACTAACAATCGTCAAACTAACAATCCCACACCGTTCGTGGAAAATTGCGAAATATATGATATATATTCGGATCGTGCGACAGGAGGAGGACAACGAGGAGTTATTTGTACAACGGCGCGATCGACGCGTTCAAAGATGATTTACGTTCGTGGAGTGGACTTGGCTGGCAAGGACGTTCGTTCGCTCGGCAAGGCGACTCTCTTTTTCGTTTTGCGCTACTTGCGCGTCACGGAAAGTGCTTTCCACTCTAACATTAATGACGTCGCGGTCTAAAGTTATCCACGGGAGTTTAGCAAAACCAGTTCACAACCGTGTAGGTATCTCGAAACGTGCTCGACCGACAAATGCTCTTACAGAACGATAATGGGGTGGGATTACGAGCCACGGGAATCGACCAATTTTTTCCTTAATTAAAGATCTTAATACTACTAATATCGCGAAATAAGTAGCGTACCCTTCGCGTGAATGCCAGTCAAATTACGATGGAATCTTAAAAAAAAAAAAAAAAATCCCGATTCATACGCGTTATCTCTAGCGAGATTATCGAGGTGAATTTAGAAACGGGTTAAAACTATAATTTTCTGTGAATCTAATGAAGCAACTGCCGAACCTGCCCACACTATGTATGCAAATGCGTAACACTTGGGGCGTATGGATGCAGTTAAAATCTCCAACTACTAACTTCTCCAAAGTACAGCTTGCAAATTATCACTGCAGTATCTCTCCATCGAAACGTCGATCGTTATGGGATGTTATACGAGTCACTTTCTCCCTTCAATCAATGCGATAAGTTTACGCGAGAATTCTTAAGTAACTGTTCGATATTTCCTTGAAGAGCGAGGTATAACGTGATATAATTCCTCCGTAAACTTGATATACCGATAACACGTATCCACGTACGGGCGTAACTTCAATTATATTTAAACTCGTTATCCCAAATACTCGTGAAATATCCTTCGTAGATATCTCTCGCGTCAAAGATACGAAGAACGTGGTGGAAAAATCGAGAGCTCGGGAATTATATCCGATCTACTCCTCGAAAATCGATATCTAAAATACCACCTAGTCACGAGTAACTGCTCCGAGATAACTCGTATCGAGGTGCATTATTCTTCAACGCAAGGACACGTGAGATAATGTTAAATCCTGGCGTATTCGCGTGAGGTACATCGATCGGGGCGCTATAAGATATTAAACACCTAATTATTTAATGAATAAATAAATCGTAACGGTTAATAAATTATTATATCGTTTTTTTTACCGTATCGATCGACGACGTTGTCCCGATACCTCGATACATAGAACACGTTATACATGGTCGAACGCGATTTATAGAGTCGTGCGCACGTAACGTGCGCGGTAGTCTGTTCATCGAAACGTGTCTGATGACTTATCTCGTATACCTATGACGCTTATGAAATAGTTGGTTGATTGAAATGTACGAGGCGACCGTTTCGGTTACCGCTTTCTTGGCCAAACGCCAATCTCTTCTCCTTCCACCATTTTCGAATTCGCGAAAATCGACTCAACGCGTCGCAATGTAAAAATTTGTAAAATCTTTTCGCGGCAGTCTCGTTCATCATCCGAGAGGAAAGAAAGAAAGAAAGAAAGAAAGAAAGTAAAAAATATAACAACTACGTAGACGAGCACCCTCGTACACGTAACACTTTATCGTCTACTCATTCTATTAGGTTTAAATTGCTATTACACTCTGAAGGACGGTATAACGGTCCTATTTACATTCAACCGCGCAAGGATTAATGACTAATTGAAAATCCGTGTAGCGAGGCGCAGGACATAGGTTTCGTTGCTCGCGTTAAAAGGAAATGTTCCCGATTTTTGGCACTTCCTTCGCTATTTCTCCGAGGAATCTCCGAGAAATCGTCTAGAAATTCAACGAAATCCCTCTCTTTTATCCTCTTATGCTCGATCGAGGGATGACTCGATTCGAGGGATCGTTAAACGACGATCGATTCCAAATCCTCGTTGTGACTCAACTGGACGTTAAACCTCGACGTCTCCTCGAGCAATAATATATTTCGTCGGTGTGTTCGATCGTAATCTCCAAGCAAACCGCTGATTCATTCACGAGTCCTTCTTCGTTCCTTCCCAACGAACGAACGAAACTCGAGTCCGAACGCGTTCCCTTGCCAATGCAATCTCAATCTCGTCCGTCGTCGCAACGATCGACCGGAAAGTAACACCAAGACGAGATGATTGGGGTTTGGGAAGAGAGCGACGAACGATGTACTCGATCGTTGGAACGTAAAGCGAAAAATCGAGGGAAGAAATATCGATGTAACCATTACGTAACGTTTTTTCTAATCGAGTCCAACAGATTCCGCGTGACGATCACGATCTTTATCACCGCTACTAATTGGTATTCCGACACGAGCAGACACCGTGAACGTTATTCGAGCATCGAGTGTGGCATGGGAAAAACGCGAAGAATTTCGTTCGCTAGACGGCATCGACACCTCGAGAGCATACCATATTTCTAAACGACCGGCGAAACGTTATTTTCCTTTTGTGAAACCGGGGGAAGGGGCAAGGGAGGAGAGAGAGAGAGAGAGAGAGAGAAGGAATGGAATTATGGCCAGTTGTTCAACAATCTTTATATTACATTGGAGAATCGTAATTAGCGTAGAGTGAGGCAAGTTTTAAACGTGTTCGCGTTTGTGCAAAAATCGGTATTCTTACAACATTTCATTAGCTCCTCGCCTCTTTCGACTCTCTAATTGCTAATTAAGAATTTCACGGTTACAGCACGAATTCACACACACGATAAAAATTTCCTAAGGAACAGTTTACGTCTTACGATCATCTCCGAAAAACAGTCAAAGTACAGCTATCGTTCCACGATCTCGAACGTTTAGTTCCTTCCTAATTGCCAATTAAAAATTGCCGGTATGCAAGAAGCGAGAAATTATCGTCATATTCGAGTGAATACCAAGGGGAAAAAGTACGAGCAGTCGTTGGAAAAAATTCAACGAGACGACTGCGCAGTTTCACATCCATCCCCCTCCCCGAAAAAGGCTATCGCTACGAGTTATGGTTCGAACGCACGAACGCATGACAAAAAGTGGATAAATCGGAACAACAGAATTAACCCAATTCCCTTCGAAAGATCGGTCCGCTTTCGCCGATGGATCGAAAATCGCCGAAAAGCGATTCGAAAGCGGCTTCCGTTCCCGTGTATTTGTCAAAATATCCGCGGTGGAGGGAGAAAACGGATCGCTCGGCCCCCTCTGATTTATAGAGAGCGGATTTCGTTCGTGAGCCGATTCGCAATAGGCGGACGATTTTCGCACGATGCTCGTTGCCCAACAACGCCATCCGACCGGCTTCGAATTTCACTTCCTAGTGGTTCCGAATACAAATGGCGGTACACACCCAACGGTTCGTGTTCTCGATCAGGAAGGAAGGAGACGATCGGCGAGGAAACGCACGATTCCTGTGTATTATCCCGGCCAACCTCTGGAAACCGAGAAATCGCGAGTGAATCATCGACGAGATCGTTAGGAAAGAGAAGAAACAGACGTGCTACGCGATGACGAAACGCACGGAGTTCAACGGAATAAAAATGACGCGTTCGTTTAATGGAGGAATGAGAGAAGAGCGGAAAATTCGTGTTGGACGTGATCGCACGCTCGACGAGACGTTTAGAATAGGATGGTATCGAAAAATGCGCCCATCTTTATCCAGGTTAATCGATCCTCGTGCGATACAATTCGCGAGTATAC